GTGGCGCGTCCCGTGGCGAGTCCCCCTGGCACGTCTCGCGGCGAGTCCCCTGGAACGTCCAACGGCACGTCCATTGGCACGTTCCGTAGCGCGTCTCCTTGGCACGTTCCGCGGTGCGTCCACATGGCACGTCCCCTAGCACGTCGCCTGACGCGTCCCTTGGGACGTTCCGCGGCGCGTCCTCCTAGCATGCCCCCCTGTCAATTAGCTCTGAGGCAGCTACTATGTGCCCAGGCAGCTCGAGCTTAAGCTCCAGATCAGTTCGGTCAGGACTCGGATGCAAAGGAGGACTCGATCCACAACGCTATAGAGCACAATCGCGGCATGGCACATCGCAAGTCCGCACTGAGCAGCACAGCACAGCCCTCGACACGGTACATCAAGATCGATACATTCAGCCTTGCACTTTGGCACGTTCCTTGGCACTTTCCGTGGCGTTTCCCGTGGCGAGTCCCCCTGGCACGTTGCGCGGCGCGTTCCCTGGCACGTACCGTGGCACGTCCATTGCACGTTCCGTAGCGCGTCCCCTTGGCGCGTCCCGCGGTGCGTCCCCATGGCACGTCCTTTGGCACGTCGCCTGGCGCGTCCCTTGGGACGTTCCGCGGCGCGTCCTCCTGGCATGCCCCCCTGTCAATTAGCCCTGGGGCAGCTGCTATGTGCCCAGGCAGCTCGAGCTTAAGATCCAGATCAGTTTGGCCAGGACTCGGATGCAAATGAGGACTCGATCCACAACGCTATAGAGCACAATCGCGGCATGGCACATCGCAATTCAGCACGGCGCAGCGCAGTACAGCCTTCGGCACAGTACATCAGGATTGATACATTCAGCATTGCATTCGTCCGTCGCCCAATCAGGTGTTTTTGAAGCGTTGCCATGCCTTATTTCTATATTATTTTCCGGGTTCGTGGGTCGATTTGTGATGGAAAATTGGTCCTGGGACTCCTCCTCCTCCTCCTCCTCCTCCTTCTCCTCCCCTTCCTCCTCCTCCTCCTCCTCCTCCTCCTCCTCCTCCTCCTCCTCCTCCTCCTCCTCCAAGTATGAATTTCCGAAGGAATCCCAAGGAATTCCTAAAGGACCCGATGGATTTCCGAAGAAATCAGATGGATGTCCTAAGAATTCCGATGGATTTCCTGAGGAACCCTATGGATTTCCAAAGGATTCTTATACATGTCCTAAGAAATCAGATGGGTTTCCTAAGGGATCCCATGGATTTCCAAAGGAATCTTATGGATTTCCTCAGTTGTCCGATGGATGTCCTAAAGTTTCCTATGGATGTCCGAAGGAGTCCTATGGACTTCCTAAGGATTCCGATGGAGGGTTCAGGATCGTCTTTTGTCATCATCATCGTTATCATCTTCATCATTATGCTGAGGTTTCCGGGAAAACGTTTAGTATCCCCCCTGGACCCCGAATTGTATTATCCCATGGAGATTAATATCAAAGGCGGTCGGCTAACGTGAGGATTTGTTGAGGAGGCTTCGAGAGAGACGCTTGTTTTACCTGTCCAGGTCGCCCAGGCAGACGTCTAGCATGAGGATGTGTTGAGGATGTGTTGAGCGAAACGCTGGTTTTCACGTGCTCAGGTCGCCCAGGCGAATGTCTAACCGAGCGCCCCGGATATCAAATCATAACCCCCCCTTGACCCCTGAGAGTTGAATATCCCAGGCCAATGCAGATTTGGTCGGGGAAGAGGGGCGGCAAGGCCGAACTTGATTATCGCGGGGGAGGGGGGATGCCTCGAGAGAGACGTTTGTTTTATGTGTCCAGGTCGCCCAGGCGGATGTTTAGCATGAGGATGTGTTGAGGATGTGTTGCGCGAGTCGTTTGGTTTCACGTGTCCAGGCCGCCCAGGCGGATGTCTAACATGCAGATGTGTTGCGGATGTCTCGAGCGAGACGTTTGCTTTCAGGTGTCCAGGTCGCCCAGGCGGATGTCTAGCATGAGGAGGTGTTGCGAACGTCTCGAGCGAAACGCCTGTTTTCACGTGCCCAGGTCATCCAGGCGGACGTCTAACATGAAGACGTGTTGAGGGTGTCTCGAGCGAACCACTTGTTTTCACATGCCCAGTTCGCCCAGGCGGATATCTAGCATGAGGATGTGTTGAGGATGTGTTGAGCGAAACGCGTGTTGTCACGTGTCCAGGTCGCTCAGGCGGATGTCTAGCATGAGGATTTGGGCGGGATGTCTCGAGCGAAACGCTTGTCCCCAGCACGTTCCGTAGCGCGTCCCTTTGGCACGCCCCGCGGTGCGTCCCCATGGCACGTCACCTGGCACGTCGCTTGACGCGTCCCTTGGGACGTTCCGCGGCGTGTCCTCCTGGCATGCACCCCTTGTCAACTAGCTCTGGGGCAGCTACTGTGTGCCCTGGCAGCTCGAGCTTAATATCCAGATCAGTTCGGTCAGGACTCCGATGCAAAGGAGGACTCTATCCACAACGCTATAGAGCACAATCGCGGCATGGCACATCGCAATTCAGCACGGCGCAGCGCAGCACAGCCCTCGGCACGGTACATCAGGATCGATACATTCAGCATTGCGTTTTGGCACGTTCCTTGGCACGTTCCGTGGCGCGTCCCGTGGCGAGTCCCCCTGGCACGTCGCGCGGCGAGTCCCCTGGCACGTCCCGCGGCACTTTCATCGGCACGTTCCGTAGCGCGTCTCCTTGGCCCGTCCCGCGGTGCGTCCCCATGGCACGTCCCCTGGCACGTCGCCTGACGCGTCCCTTGGGACGCTCCGCGGCGCGTCCCCCCTGCATGTCTCCCTGTCAATTAGCTCTGGGGCAGCTACTGCGTGCTCAGGCAGCTCGAGCTTAAGATCCAGATCAGTTCGGTCAGGACTCCGATGCAAAGGAGGACTCGATCCACAACGCTATAGAGCACAATCGCGGCATGGCACATCGCAGTTCAGCAAGGCGCAGCGCAGCACAGCCCTCGGCATTATACATCAAGATCGATACACTCTGCCTTGCAACATGGCACGTTCCCTGGCACGTTCTGTGGCGCGTCCCGTGGCGAGTCTCCCTGGCACGTCGCGCGGCGCGTCCCCTGGCACGTCCCGTAGCGCGTCCATTGGCACGTTCTGCAGCGCGTCCCTTTGGCACGTCCCCTGGCATGTCGCCTGGCGCGTCCCTTGGGACGCTCCGCGGCGCGTCCTCCTGGCATGTCCCCCTGTCAATTAGCTCTGGGGCAGCTACTATGTGCTCAGGCAGCTCGAGCTTAAGATCCAGATCAGTTCCGTCAGGACGACTCCGATGCAAAGGAGGACTCTATCCACAACGCTACAGAGCACAATCGCGGCATGGCACATCGCATTTCAGCACGGCGCAGCACAGCAGAGCCTTCGGCACGGTGCATCAAGACCGATAAATTCAGCATTGCAGTTGCCCGTCGCCCAATCTGGTGTCTTGAAAAGGTTGCCATGCCTAACATTTCTATATTTCTTTCCGGGTTCGTGGGTCGATCATGTTTTGGATTCCAAGAACCCAATCTACTTAGCCGCCTTCCTATTTCAATGATCGAGTGGTTTTCCCTCTTCCCTCCTCTTCAGGAGGCGGGCGGAGACCCAATCTACTTCCAACGCCTTCCTACTTCATGGTCTTACCTACTTCTTCCGACCGATGGGTATTCGCGAACCTCCCCACTTGCTATCCCCCCCCTCGCGTTGGACCCGAGATGCGACTCGATGCTGGCACCGCGTTGGGCTTCGGCGTCCTGGCGCCACCGATCCAAGCCGATTCTGGCTCCGTGCCGGTGCGGGCAGAGCCGCCGCACACTCCGATTCGACCCGATGTCGGTGCGGTGGCCATGCTGCGTGACGAGCCAGTGGGGGAGGCAGGGCCTGCTGCAGCTGCGGCAGGCCTCCTCAGGTCCGAGCTGCGAAGCAAATCAGCCTCGCGGAAAAGCACGACCGGAGGACGGAAGTTTTGCTGGTAAGGGCTCGGCTGAAAGTTATGTTCTCGAAATTCAGCCATTCGTTTGAGATCTAGTATTTTTCCACCCATCTAGGATCTTATGCCCGCTCGCCATCTTGATCTCAGGTCAACCGGGTGGATACATCAATCAGCCGGACCCCATCTTTTTCCCGGAAAGGGCAGCGGCCCAGGGTTCTCTTTTCGCAGGTCTACCCCCGTGGATGACTTGAAGAGGGCCGGCGAATCTCCGCTCGATGCAGGACGGAGTAATTAAAGCCCAAGTCGGCGTGGCAAACATGCGATTCGCGCGTGCCCGCTTGAGGAACATGTGTTCGCATCCTCGATGAAATCAAGTGGTCCGCAGACACACGCTTCCAGCGCACCAAAAACGGGGTGCGGAGCGTTTTGCGCAGAATCCGCCATAAAGCATGAGAGCTGGAGGCTGTGTTTTTTCATACACTGTGAAAAAGTTGTTCTATCTCTCTCTCTCTCTCTCTCTATATATATATATATACACATTGCCCCCCGGCAACCGGGGTTCCCAGTTCGCGCCGGCGCCGAAGACGCTATTTCAAGAAGCTATTCCATGTGACGGCGCGTCCCTGTGAAGACGCTATTCCTTGTAAGGACATGATTCCCGGTGAAGACGGTGAAGACGCTATTCTGGGTGAACACGCTATTCCGGGTGAAGACGCTATTCACGGTGAAGACGGTGAAGACGCTATTCCCGGTGAAGACGCTACAGGGTGAAGACGCTATTCCCGGTGAAGAAGCGTTCTGCGGACACAGCACTTCCCCCATGAAGATGCTATTCCCTCTGAAAACGCTATTCCCGGTGAAGACGCTATTCGCTGTGAAGACGCTATTCTGGGTGAAGACGCTATTCCCTGTGAAGACGCTATTCCCAGTGAAGACGCTACATTCCGGGTGAAGACGCTATTTCCGGTGAAGACGCTATTCCTGGTGAAGACGCTATTCCTGGTGAAGACGGTATTCCTTGTAAAGACGCTATTCCGGGTCAAGACGTTCTTCCGGGTTAAGACGCCGTGTGCACACGGTTAAGACGTCTTCACCGGGAATAGCGTCTTCATGAAGACGCTATTCCCGGTGAAGACGCTATTCCGGGTGAAGACGCCGTTCCTGGTGAAGACGCTATCCCGGGTGAAGACTTTATTCCGGGTGAAGACGCTAGTCCCGGTGAAGACGCTATTCCTGGTGAAGACGCTATGCCCGGTAAGGACCCTATTCCCAGTGAAGACACCATTCCCGGTGAAGGCGCTATTCCTGGTGAAGACGCTATTCCCGGTGAAGGCGCTATTCCGAGTGAAAACGCTATCCCGGGTGAAGACGCTATTCCTAGTGAAGACGCTATTCCTGGTGAAGACGCTATTCCGGGTTAAGATGCTATGCCCGGGTTAAGATGCTATGCCTGGTGAAGACGCTATTCCGTTGAAGACGCTATGCTCGGCGAAGACGCCGTTCCTGGTGAAGACACTATTCCCGGTGAAGACGCTATTTCCGGTGAAGACGCTATTCCCGGTGAAGGCGCTATTCCGAGTGAAGACGCTATCCCGGGTGAAGACGCTATTCCTAGAAAAGACGCTATTCCCGGTGAAGACGCTATTCCGGGTTAAGATGCTATGCCCTGTGAAGACGCTATTCCTGCTGAAGACGCTTTTCCGGGTGAAGACGCTATTCCCGGTGAAGTTGTTATATTTTTGGTGCAGACGCTATCCTGGGTGAAGACTTCATTCCGGGTGAAGACGTTATTCCCGGTGAAGACGCTATTTTTTTGAAGACGCTATGCCCGGTGAAGACGCTATTCCCGGTGAAGACGTTATTCCCGGTGAAGGCGCTATTCCCGGTGAAGACGTTATTCCCGGTGAAGGCGCTATTCCGAGTGAAAACGCTATCCCGGGTGAAGGCGCTATTCTTAGTGAAGACGCTATTTTTGGTGAAGACGCTAATCCGGGTTAAGATGCTATGCCCGGTGAAGACGCTTTGCCGGGTGAAGACGCTAGGTGAAGACGCTATGCTCGGTGAAGGCGCCGTTCCTGGTGAAGACACTATTCCCGGTGAACACGCTATTCCTTGTGAAGACGCTATTCCCGGTGAAGGCGCTATTCCGAGTGAAGACGCTATCCCGGGTGAAGACGCTATTCTTAGTGAAGACGCTATTCCCGGTGAAGACGCTATTCCTTGTAAAGACGCTATTCCGGGTCAAGACGTTATTCCGGGTTAAGACGCCGTGTGAAGACGCTGTTCCCGGTGAAGACGCTATTCCGGGTGAAGACGCCGTTCCTGGTGAAGACGCTATCCTGGGTGAAGACTTTATTCCGGGTGAAGACGCTAGTCCCGGTGAAGACGCTATTCCTGGTGAAGACGCTATGCCCGGTAAGGACCCTATTCCCAGTGAAGACACTATTCCCGGTGAAGGCGCTATTTCTGGTGAAGACGCTATTCCCGGTGAAGACGCTATTCCTGGTGAAGACGTTATTCCCGGTGAAGGCGCTATTCCCGGTGAAGACGTTATTCCCGGTGAAGGCGCTATTCCGAGTGAAAACGCTATCCCGGGTGAAGACGCTATTCTTAGTGAAGACGCTATTTTTGGTGAAGACGCTAATCCGGGTTAAGATGCTATGCCCGGTGAAGACGCTTTGCCGGGTGAAGACGCTATTCCGGGTGAAGACGCTATGCTCGGTGAAGGCGCCGTTCCTGGTGAAGACACTATTCCCGGTGAAGACGCTATTCCCTGTGAAGACGCTATTCCCGGTGAAGGCGCTATTCCGAGTGAAGACGCTATCCCTGGTGAAGACGCTATTCTTAGTGAAGACGCTATTCCCGGTGAAGACGCTATTCCGGATTAAGATGCTATGCCTTCCCAGCGCATCAGTTCTCTTAAACATAAGAGGATCTTTTAAAATTTTAGTGGAAACACTAAAATTTTAGTGGTTGTAACATGATATCAAAAACCTCTTATTTTTTTAGAGGTTTTGTTCCAGATGAGCATGCCATCTTTCTATAGCTCAGCGCGCATATTGCGTTCAATGGGCGTTATGTTTGATACATGCTCGCAATCAGAGCGTGATCGGAGGCAACCTTGCGGCCCTTGGGGCCGCGCTGGAAACTTCAGAATCCCTGTCGGCTCTCCCGAGCCGCCAAGCCCATCTCAGGCCTTCCGTTTGGTTCCAACCTCGCGGCCCTCAGGGCCGCGATGGAAGTTTTTCGGTGCAACCTCGGCCCATGGACTACCCCTGATCCTGTCGGATGACTCTTGCGAGCCACCAGGCCCATCCGAGGGCTTCTGCTTGGCCTCAGACGTGCGGCGGATTGCGACAGCTGGCCTTCGGCCGCGGATTGGCAGAGCCTTCGGCGAGTATAGTGCGAGAGAGGGGGAGGGGAGAAAGAGAGAGGGAGGGAAAGAGAGAGAAAGCGAGAGGCAGAGCGAGAGGAAACAAAAAGAGAAAGAGCGAGAGGAAGGTGGAGGAAGGCAGGAGGAAGGAAGAGCGGAAGAGGAGGAGGAGGAGGAGGAAAAGGTGCGGAGTGGGAGTCGGAAGAGGAGGTGCTCATTCTGTCGCCCACCTGTGCGAAGCGTGTTAAAGTCTGTACTTCTCAATCGCAGATCTGTGAATGTACTTACTATTCTGGCTGCACCCCGAAACGGTATCAACACAATAACCAATCATATCTTCGTCGTTGTAGTTCCAATTCTCCCGTGGGTTGCCGTGGACAAAATAGTCCTCCTCAGCGAGGTGAATATACATGTGATGTTTTGGGTAGCATCGATATGCGCAGTACCCCTTCGGGCGCTGAGGATGCAGCGAGAGTTCGCAATAAAGTGCCACATGCTGCCGAGCAAACTTTCCGAGCTTAGTTGCCATGGATGCATGGTCTCCGTCCGACTCTTTCGTCCGAGGCAGCTCCTTGTAGAAATTGTGGAGCGCTTCCAAGCAATGCAATCGCATGCGTTGGAATTCCGTCTCTGGTGGAAATAGGTTGACGAAGATCCAGTGCAGCACTCCGACCATCAAACGTGAATCCGACGCCTTGAGGTTCAGCAGCGGCGCCTTCGCTTTCTGCGGCTTCATCATGCCCATGGTGAGTCTGTTGAGCGGAGGTTTCGGGTAGCCAAGGTTCTTGCTTGCCATCTTTATGAACCGAACCATCTCGGACAACACTGGGTCAGGCGACGTTGTCAGACCGCCCAACTGCTTGAACCATTCCATGCAAAGGTTACCGTTGAAATAACGGGTTATTCCCAAGTCGCACACGTGCATGACGTCTAACACTATGTATTGAAGCTGGAAGCCAGGCAAACTCCAAAATATTGACCAGTATTCGCCACGATTCAATAGATCCAGCAAGTGTTGCGCATGGGTTTTGCATGTCGATCTCCATTTCGCATGTTGGCTGGCGTCAGTGAAAGGGCATGCACCGCACTTGTCCGCAGCACATCTGAAACACATCTGCTTTGTAGCCCCGTCGCCCTGCCAGCCTCGAAGGCCAATCACCTTTTTCAGCCAATCCCAGTCGAATCGGCCCTGGATGACGCCGCCCTTTCGCGGAAGCATCCGCCGTTCATTTGCTGCTCGAGCCCTCTGGGCGTCACCGCGAAAAGCCGATTCAGAAAATGGAATCCCATCGTGTCGAATGGCAGGATACCGCCCGCTGAGCCACACTTGAAACGACCATGAAACAACTCTCCAAATACTATCATGAGTACAACGGCCTTTGCAGCCACAATTGCAATACAACGAACCTGGCACCACTACAATCCAATACCGTGTTCTTTCTCCAAGCGTACCCAACGGGTTCCATAAAATCATTAGCAGCTTGTCATTTCTCGAGAAGGGCGCTTCGTCGCCCCACACCCCGCAGGCTACCACATCATCTGGGTTTCCAGCGTTGACCCTGGCTGCCCACTCAGCTCTGGTTTTGGAAAGGGCAGAGCCGTTGGGGAATTCAGTCCAAGCAGACGGGATGGCAGCCATCGCATCGAACATCTCGTACGGCAAAAGAAAATACACTCTATACCGAGCTTTGCAAGCAGAATCGGAATCCCACAAATCTACTTCTGCCTCGTAGGGTTCGGGCATCGAAGAACCACGACGGAGTTGCGATATCACTCTTCTGTGTGCGTTGTTCCGCTGCGCAGACACAGGACGTCCTGCAATAGCTCGAACTTCCTCCATGTCCTGAGCAGAAAGCTGTCCCCGTTTGAATCGCTTGACGGCAAACTCTTCCATTCGATCAGCGATGTCACCATCTGTGTTCGACGCTGCCGTGCTAGCGCTAGATGAGGCTATCCCAAGCGATTGGCGGATCCCTTTTCCCAAACGTGGTGGCATTGAAGAATCTCTAACCCTCAACGCAGACAGCGGAAGAAGAATCAACGTCACGATGGCAAACCTGATGAGCAACATCAGCATTGCATATGCTGAGACACGAAGCGTAGACCTTGTTTGAGCCCAAATGGCTATAACGATGAGGCGGAGGACTGAAGGAAGGAAGGATGGATGGACCCCATTGGCAATGCTGAAGAGTTCGCTTTCAATATTTACTCGTTCCAGTTTGGTAGCGCTGTTCTTGTTTGGTTGTTGTCTGTTTCGTTGTTGTAGTTTCTCTGATGTGTGTGCTTCGTCGATGGGGTGAACTGCTTTTAGGGGCCTTTGGGTATCCCGAGGCACTCTTTGTATGTTTATTCGGAGGTCTTTGGGCATCTTTGGGCGTCTTTGGGCGCAGAGAGGGGGGCATTTAGATGGCTCAAGCTCGACGGCCCAAGCTCGAATGCTCAAACTCTCACCTGCTTTTTTCTCAATCTCGAAGGCTACCTCGGGACCTCGGGAGGTCGAGCCAGCACCCGTGCTACCACGTCGTGCTGCGAGTGCCTCCTAAGCGCAGATGAAAGCTGAATTCAGCCAGATTGCGAAATTACTTGACCGAAAACGTGCGCCACTCGCTTGCAGTGGCCTTGAGAAGCTGCCCCGAACTCAAGCTTTCCCCTTGGTCTTCCCGAAATCTGCCAGGCACGATTTTGCATTCGATGTAGGACGTCTCAACGCTCTTCATTTTTTCCTTGAGATCATTGGTCTTGCCATTGCTCGTGTCGATGTCGGTATCTTTCCCCAAGCCCTTCGACGATGCCCACAAGTCGAAGAGTTCCTCCGCGTTTTTCTTCTGGATGGCAGTCTGGCTCTTAAGGTAGTTGAGGGGGCCGTCGCCCCACTGCGTTTTCTGCGCGATGCGATCCTCGATGGTCCGCACCTCTCCAAGCTCCTTGTTCATCTTGTCGTATTGCTGCTTGGCCTTCTTGGTGGTATCGGTCAGGGCGGTAAGAGCATCCACCCTGGCTTTCTCGGCCTCCTGCTTCCTCTTCTCCTCCTCGGTGAGCTCCTTGCCTCCGATCGGGGAGATGGGATCTTCTGGGCTCTGCGGATCTGTTTTCTTCCTCCTCTTGGGGTTGCCGACCCTCGGCACGCTGGTTGACCCGAAGTTCTCCATCATGGTCTTGACGTTCTCGACGTCCTCGGCCTCGATCTTGGCTTCGGTGCGGATCAACGCCTCCTCGATTTTGGATTTCTTCCAGGTGTCCTGGACGCCAATGGGCACGTAGTACTGCATGATCTTCTTCGCCGCCAGCAGCGACGATTCGTGAGGGCGCGATGGGAACTCGCCCCCCTCGCACCTCAGCTTGGCGTGCTCCAGGTTGTTGCAACCCCTCGGCCCTGCGTACTCCTCGATCGTCATCCACGCCCTGCCTCCTGTCTCGGCGGTCTCGGTCGTGCGCTTGGTGTCGTTGCGGACGATGCTCCCACCCGATTTGGGGTCGACCAAGAAGGCGGCCAACCATTCCCTCCTGTCCTCGTCCTCCTGAATCTTGGAGTATTCAGCGAACTTTTCAGCAAACTCTTTCTTGAGGACGCTGTTCAAGGAGCTGAAAGCCCGTTGGCGAAGTGACCTTTCCACTCCAGCGATGCTCTGAGCGTTGACCTGCCCGCTCTCCTTCATAATCAAATCCTTGAGCTCCTCGCATGCAGAGGGAAGCTGGTCGGCCTTGCGCTTCGGCGGCATATCTTGATGCCGCCAACTGAAGAGTGCCAAGAAAGCTTGAGTCAAAATGGCTACGGATAACGGTGGCATCGATCTCATTATCGACCTCACTGTCGATGTAATCGTTGATAGCGCAGCCTGAATTAATATGTTCGCTTTTACTTCGTTTTGTATGTAATGCGTGTTTGTTTGTTTGTGTGTTTGCTTGTTTGTGTGTGTGTTGTTTGTCTGTTTGTATTTCAGGAAAGTCTGGGCCACTTGAAACAACAGCGATTTCTGTCCGCGTAAGTTTCCTGAACCCCTGGCCTCTGAGTCACCTCTGAGTCACCTGCACCTCTGAGTCACCTCTGAGTCACCTCTGAGTCACCTTTGAGCCACCTCTGAGTCACCTCTGGGGCCTCTTGGGGTAAGCGAGCCGTCTTTGATCGAACGCATTCGTTTCAGCAAAGCGCGAGCTCCAGGGCAGGCCGAGCTCCAGGGCAGGCCGAGCTCCAGGGCAGGCCGAGGCAGCAACCGGAGCGGAAGGGCACCAGGTGGGGCCGCCATATCCGGCACATATCCGGCACCCCCCCCCTGCCAGACATAGAATGTTGAAAAACCATTGGTTTTTTAAGGTTTCTATATCTGGCAGGGGGGGGGGTGCCAGATATGTGCCAGATATAGCCGCCCGCCCTCCGCCCGCCAGCGGCCCCTTCAGGCTCCTGTCGGGCAAACCCCTGCGGGCCGTGCTGAGAGGGGAGAGCGAGCGAAGAAGGGGGATTTTTTTCGAGGAGGGGGAGGGGCAGGCGGAGGAGGAGGAGGAGGAGGAGGTGGAGGAGGAGGAGGAGGAGGAGGAGGAGGTTGAGGAGGATC